ACAAAAAAAATTTATAACAAATTTTTATATGATACCATATATAGTTTTGATTTACTTAGTTGACGTATAACCCCAATGCAGCAGCATGCATGATATAAAAAAATGCTACTTTGCCCATCTCTAGACTTGCTTGCCTTATTGTTAAAACACCGAGAAGTTGCAAAGAAAAAACCTATAAAATACGTTAGTTTAGTGCAAATTTCAAATTTATTTAATCTAATTATCAAAAATGGCTCGAATGAATAAATGTTGCGGTTGCATTCCTATGAGAGCAGGTGTTATAACGATATCAATTTTTTACTTAGTATGTTAATTTTATATTTTAAATTAAAACTTTTTTACGGTTATGTTTTAATTTAAAGTTCTGTTTGCAAATTCCTATGTACTTAGGCTGTTGCAATAATTGGCGGTTTACTATTTATCCGAAGTCTTCAGATTGCTGTAGATTTTAGAAATTGTAATTTGCATTATTATTATTCATTTATTTTTCTTTATATGTAAAGTGTTAATATTTTTGATTTATTGTACATTCTAGATACTCTTAATGCATTGGATTATATTACTTTAGTTATATTTTCTCTGATGATTCTAGTATCAGGCTTTGGACTTACTGTCGTCTGTTCCGCGGTATGTGTTACTATGTGTTACTTGTTGATGATATTCTAAATATTATAAAATTTACAATCCACTTCTTTCTGGCTGCATCTAGGAATCTGCACGACTCTTGAAAGTCTTTTCATGGCTTTTTAATCTTATAGTATTACTTCAATATGTGTATGCCGTTTTTATTACCATTGAAATTTCTTCAAGTGCCTATTCGAAATATTTTTGGCACACTATAATTTTTAGTTTTATCGATGCATTTATTGCGGTATGTTCTATATATTTGGTTTTAAATTTTTTAAATTTTAAATCTTGGTATAATGCTTGCTGTAAATAATTAATTATTACATTCTAATTCCATAGACTTATTTTGCTAAAGTTATTTCTGATTACGCTTCATCCACTAAAGACGTTCAAGATGATACTCCAACACCTGGAAGAATGGAAGTTTCTAATGTAACAAATAGTCATGTTGCTACCTAATTTTATTTAAATAGAAGAAAATTTTTAAACTTGGGTTAAAGTCACATAAACTATTAAAGGAAAGCTACGGACACAACATTTCAGGTGATTATAT